AAGCCGCAACGTGCCTCTCCACAACACCCCGCACTACGCCGCACCACACCGTACCACGCAGCACCGCGCAAAGGAGGTGGGGCCGCCGTGTGATGATTTGTTGCTGTTGCCATAGAAGAACGTTAGTCAAATTGTAATGAATATGATGATTAGAGCCGTTTGGCTCCCCATGTATAACTTTGCCTAAATCTGTAGGGGGCGCTAATGGGCCAATTTCAAATATTTCACTTTCACCTGACCTAAACCCTGGAGTTGAACATTGGATTCAAGTTTTGTGCAAATCATACTTTGTTTGTGCAAACAGGAGCAAAATTTATGTTGTGAAAAACGGTCAAAAAACACTCACATTTTGCCGCTCCGCTGCTCAAACAACGTTTCACTGATCAAAAATCCCTGACGTCATTTTGATGGTACATGTGTTTAGACGATGTGGAGTGATATGGAGGCCAATCGGTGAAACGGCCGAGGAGGAGTCGCTTTCCAACCGACATGTATGAAAATGATTGCGGATCATTTTTCCATTTTGCAGTGAAATTTATGCGCCTCCTGTTTGTCAGAGGGCGGAGCCATGAAAACATTTCGGTCGTATCTTGACTTGAGGAACATGTGTACCGAATTTCATGGCTTTACGACAAACTTGACCTCGGAAACTCACCTTGGCTGTTGTAGGTGGCGCTGTTCTGGCATTTTTTGAGTCCCGTAAAAATAAACACCAAAATATCAAATTTTTCACCAGGTCTGATGTTTGGGCAAAATTTACAACTTTTCATGCATGTTCAGGGGGTGCAGAATTTGACATCTCTCGAGCAAAAACAATAGGCCCTTTCCCCGTTCGGGGCTCGGGCCTAATAAAATGTTTGACAAAGAGGCTGGACGAAGCAGACGCTTATCTGGCTCCAACCCCTCACAAACACAATCACACAAGCAACACACTCACACACACACACACAACACAAGCACAACACACAACAAGACACAGGTCCAAACACTCTCTGACCACACACCTCCCACCCTCTACTCCTCACTGCTCCACATACTTCTTCAGCACTTCCTTCTTGAGAAGCTTTTTAAACTGTAACAGATTTGAACATGTTTTTAATTCATCTGTCAAGTTGTTCCACAGAGTCACTCCTCACACAGAGACGCACATCGATTTTAAAGTAGTTTAAAATAGTAGTAGTTTAAAATAAGTAGGCATATAAGTAGGCTTCCTCCTAAACTGTAATTGTGGAGAGCATCTCTGTCATTAAATAGGATTTGCACATGAGGTGGCAGAGTTTTCAGAGGCCCTGAACATTATCTGAGCAGTTTTAAAGTAAATCAGGTCCTGAAGCTTCTTTTAATTCTATAAACAGTGGATTAGAACGATGTCTGTAGTGGACATTACACACAAACCTAATGGCCTTTTTTTGCAATGAGATTAAAGACTGTAAATGGGATTGGTAACAGTTTCCCCAAACTTCAGCACTGAAATTGAAGCTGCACTAACTCACTGTAAAATTTTCAAATGTGAGCGCTGGCCTCGCTATCACTATCACTAACTCACTAGTTCTTAATTGCAAAAATACTCTATATAAATATTTTTTCTTTTTACAAGCGTTTGAAAGGCCTTTCGTGATCCATGGAGTTTTTGTGGAGTCTCTTGTTGTGCACTTTTTGATTAGACAATGTTTGTCATAGAAAATAATAAATAAGTCAAGAAAGGAGTTGTAAGCTGTGTTAATGTCTGACATTTTGTTAATTTCATTTCATTTCATTTTCAAGCCCTTTATTGTCCAGTTCTGGGTCAGGGGGGTGGCAATGAGAGCTGCCATCCATTGCTCATAGCACCAGTCCCTCGCTGATCCTCTGCAGGGGGTGAGTCCACAGGAAGATAGCTGCTCTGTCAGTGGTGAAACAGCCTTGGTCTTTCAGCGGGGGCTTCAGGCAACGTGGGGTTAAGTGTAGGGCTGAAACAACTAATCGATTAATCGACGACTAATCGATTATTTAAATAGTCGACAACTATTTTAGTAATCGATTAATCGTTTTCTGGTTCACACGGACTCAAACAGAGCAAAAATGACATGAAAATGTAGTATTTTTGATTAAAACTGACTTTGTTTTTATAATTTCATGAATATCTGTCTGTCTCATCCAATCAGATAGCAGAATTAGCACAAAGAGCCTGTTACAAACATTTACTTCCTCGAGTGTTGCCACTTTAGCTTTTTGTGATGAAAAAATATTTTTTTTCTACACAATTCACAGCCAAGCGATTACTCGATTAATCGTAAAAATAATCGATAGATTAATCGATTTACAAAATAATCGTTAGTTGCAGCTCTAGTTAAGTGTCTTGCCCAAGGACACAACGACAGTAGACATCAGTGGGAGCAGTTGGAGTAGGTCCCATGGTGGGAATCGAACTCACGAGCTCGAGGCTCAAAGGCCACTGCTCTACCAACTGAGCTATTTAGATTTAGTATTGATTGCTCTGTGAGGACTCTGCGATAGCATTCAATGTTAACAGGTGTAGTTATTTGAGAGTTTACATTGTAGAACATAAAAACTGGTAAATGGTCGCTGGCATCCTTTACAAGAACTCCACTGGTTATATCTTTCTCCAATACGTTGCAGAATATCTTGTCAATCAAAGTGGCACTGGATGCTGTGATTCTTGTAATCAGAGGGCACAGACCCATGGAAAACATTGTATCTGTGAATTCTTCTGTGCATTTATTTTTATTAGGATTTAGTAGATTAATATTAAGATCACCACAAGTAACATTCTCTACAATTTTACAGTTTATATTTTTATCAATATATAATGCCACGCCTCCTCCTCTCTTGTGCTGCTGGTTTGTGCAAAACATTTCATAACCATTCATTTCAAACCCACTACTGTTTTTTTCATTAAACCACGTTTCTGAAACAGCTCTTATTTTAAAAGGTGATTTGAATTGTTTCAGATAACCTTGAATGTCATCAAAATTAGAGCATAAACTCCTGCTATTAAAATGCACAAGTGACATATTTTTATCTTGCGTGACTTTTTTGTCAAATGTGACATCAGTATAATATAAACAATCGTTACAATTTATAAAGACATTTCTGTCTGGATCAAATTCACTAATATAGGTTTGTCATTTATAGTTGACATTTTCAGAGAAGTTGATCCGTTGATCAGAGTTTGTGCAAAAATCTTCATCCTCAATTTCAGATGAGGCATCGTTATTCTGAACTATACATCTAGTGACTTATCAAAAGCATGAATGATGGGAGAGAATGCACAGTCATAGACTGAAGGCCCCAGACATACCACAAACACCCGCACACAGCAACATTCAAGTAGCCACACACACAATCTCTCACATACAAACACCAAAACACATGCACACTCATACTCGCCATTAAAAGGTCAGACAAATCCTTGTACACCCATAAGACAGGATACAACCAAAGAACAAGTCATAAGTCACAAACAACCATGTGGAATCTGCAATAAAACATACATCCGAAATATAGGAAGAGCTTTTTAGCACCAGAAGGAAGGAACATCAAAGGGAATGTGAAAAAGAAACGGCAGCGCGGAAAACAAGATCAACCAAGGAAAAAGCAGCACAGGAAAAACCTCAAATCAACAATATCAAACCACTGCCAAAGAGAAAATGACATTATGGACTGGGATAATGATGGGAGGGAACGCGGCGAGGGACGCGGTTCAAGGCCTTAAACATAAAAAAAAAACAATTTACAATTAATTTGCTTAGTTCAGCTTGTTATGGTATTCTCAAGATGGATCAAGACATAGGCCCACACACCAGGAGGCCCGTCCCTGTGCTCCTCCTGGGTCTGAGCTATTCATTTTCTATTTTCTGGCTTGAACTGGGCCCACTTCACTTCTGTATGAATGTAATGTTTCCTTTATCGGTGATACAGACTGATTCAACTTCTTATTACTTCATTAAAACAAACATTTGTACTGACAGCATTTGAAATCCGGCTGCGTTTGCCCTGGAGTCAAATGCGAGTGCTGAGAGGCTCTGAGAGTTAGGCCACGTATGGCTGGAACCAGAGCCTCCATTCTGCAGTGTTTTTTTATTTTGGAAGTTGCAGACAGACACAAAGCAGACATGCCGCAGACACTTGCACTCCCGGCACCCCTCTCCGGAGCAGACGGGCCACTGTGCACCTGTCCCAGCTCAGGTTCAGCTCCTCTCATCTCTACACTCTCCCCACAGACAGGCCTGGGAAGCTATCTGCTCTTTCATTCAATTCTATGTATTTTTACATATCCCTAAATTACAACAGCAGTCTCTCTGAGATCTTTTAAACGCTTTATACTTAGATCAGAGAATCAAACTAACTGACAAACTAACACAGGAAATGCAATTATAACAAAAACATATAGAAGCCATTGGTCCATTGGGAGCAGAATGACCACTGTCCAGAAAGATCCAGGACTGCGGCTGTAGATCCAAGTAAACAGATATGTCAATAGTTTGCTCTACTGTATAAATTTACTTGCCCACGCAAAGTATCGCAGTGCTGAATAAAATTGATTTTTCCCCCATCACTAATATCCATCTCTTTCTCTTTATATCTATCATTCTATAATCTCCATCAATATCTTTCTCTCTATATCCATTACGCACATTAAATTAAAACTTTACTGTAGTAATAATTTCATTCACACTCCACACTCTACAGACCCTCTGCCAGGGGAAATACTGAATACTGCATGAAGGGAGGGGTGTGCAGCAATATAGCAGTGGTGTTCCAGAGTCTGGGGGGGTCTGAGGGTGTGAGGGTCTAAGAGCCATGTTTGACAGGACGCTAACAGGAGCCGCACACTGGAACCAGCCTGAACACACGCGCTCAATCCAGGAGGTTGTGTGAGCGCGCGCACTCCAAAGAAAGGGTCCGGTGTCCGGCTATTTTCAGTGGCTCCCCCTTTGGCAAAGTGTCCCAGCAACAGCTAACACACACACACACACACAAAAACACGTCACACTTACGTTGAACTCGGTGGTGTTGAGAATGTGACGTCCGTCAGGGCTCCAGCGCGAGGAGGTGAGGCCAATAGAGCCCTCGTCAATCTTGCAGTGCCACTCGGGCTGCTCCAGAGACCAGACCTGAGACAAACCCAGATAAAGACCAGAGAGAGGCCAGAGGGAGGCCAGAGGGAGGCCAGAGAGAGGCCAGAGAGAGACCCAGAGAGAGACCCAGAGAGAGACCCAGAGAGAGACCCAGAGAGAGACCCAGAGAGAGACCCAGAGAGAGACCCAGAGAGAGACCCAGAGAGAGACCCAGAGAGAGACCCAGAGAGAGACCCAGAGAGAGACCCAGAGAGAGACCCAGAGAGAGACCCAGAGAGAGACCCAGAGAGAGACCCAGAGAGAGACCCAGAGAGAGACCCAGAGAGAGTGAGCCAGAGAGAGACCCAGAGAGAGACCCAGAGAGAGACCCAGAGAGAGACCCAGACAGAGAGGAGGAGGTGGACGTCAATGGGAGACTTCATGGTTCCAACTGTTCCCTAAAAAACTGTTCAACATGAAAGACTGGCACTGGATCCCTCTGCAAAGGTGAGTTGGAGGCATGGACACTGGTGTGAACTGAAGACTTTTAACTGCGGTCAGTGGAAGATAACTGGAAACATTTAGACCACAAACTAGTTTAGGGCACTATATTGTTGTTAGCCTATTATATTCATCAACAGATATTTCTGTATCAATTAAATTGATTCAAGATTAAGAGTTTCTTCATTCATTCCATTGAAATGTCCCCACTGTGGGACAAATAAAGGATCTCTTAATCTCAGCAAGTTAATTGCTGCTGTATACTGTTATGATTTAGGCCTATACACAAATACATTTAATTGAACACTGGTATGAACTGAAATCTTTTGAATGCAGTTTAGAAGAAGATAACAAGAAACTTTTGGACTATAAGTATTTTAGGGCTGTAACAAGATAATTGATTACAGAAATATTTGTTGATGAATAAAGTTTGTGAACAAAACCTGCCTCAGATGGATCTTACATCTCAGACAGAGCAACTATAGAGCTAGAACACTACAGAATACTACAGAAAAAGTATTGAAAATGGTTTACTACCCAAACAACCAACTGGTCTCCAACATATTCGAGAGGAATTGCTTTTACTTTGTTTTGTTCAAATTTTTTCACAAATTTGTTTTTTTTTTAAAACCTCATTTTAACAACTTTTACACAACTAATTAGTCAAAAGAATTGTTTTTTAAAGTCGCTTATGACAAGAACGTCTGTTGCTCTGCTTGTAAATGTAATGTGCAGTATTAAAATCATCACCACATTCAAAAGCAAATACCTCAAGTCACAGAGATATGTCACTAAACTACATATAAAATGTACATTTTAAGTATAAATACATAGGGCTGGGCGATATAGCAAAAAAGTAAAATCTCGATTTTATTTCCCGCTTGGACGATTTTGATTTTAAATCAATTTTCATCAAAGTCCCCGAAGAGAGACTTTGCCCTTAAAATCATTTTTTGATCTTTCCGCTCAATATTTAAGTTTCAAAACTATATTTATTTGTTTCCCCCATATGTATTATAAAAGTCCTGTACAGACTGTGCTGATGTTGCAAGTATAATTGAAGTGCTGCTGGAACTCTCACGATATCCTTCATTCGATTTCACAATTTTCACATTTTTCACAAATTCGATTTTTTCAAAAGCTAATTAATTGCCTAAATTTGATTTATTGCCCAGCTCTAGAACTACATAGACTAAAAAATATCGCAGTATAAAATATATACTGGGGAACATGTCGATGGATACACAGATAAATAAAAAGGCCTCATTGCATTTGGATTGAGTTTGGATAGATCGGTGTTCACGCTACCGCCGCCGCCATCGAAGCAGTTGAGGCAAACTTTATTTTCTTATATTGTGTTTCCTGATATCCTATCAATTATAGAGTAAATGTTTGCCTTCTTATTTGAAAAGGAGTCACTATTTGACTCTTTGGGATGAGAGCTGCTCTTGGCTCAAATCTGGAACAGTCTTCACTGAAAATGTTCAAATACAGGTTCAAAACAGTTCTGTTTAGCTGTGCATCCAACTGAGGGATTTTATCTTTTTTCTTTTAATATACTGTGATTATTTATGATGTTATTGCATTGTGTGATTGTTTTGATCTTGTTTTGTGAAGCATTTCCTGTTCCTGTATAGAACTGCAATGCAAATAAACTTGCCATTACCCTCTGCTCTGCTCTGCCCACCAGTATCCAGGGAAATTTATGGGTAACCATGGCTAACAGCAGCTTTCTCACCGATTGCAGTCAGTTAGAACACTAAAGAACAAACTCGACCTGGATAGAACCAGGACCAAGAAGGACTAAGGGCTAGTGGAAACGCTCCCAATTGAAGTTGAGTAGAGCCGAGTAGAGTAGGGCCGGTCAAAACGGGGCTTTACAAGAGGCAACCATCCAACTAAATAACGCTATTGTTAGCGCTGACTGGTTTGCATGAATTTTGATCCATCGGCTAACGTCCTTCCACCTCTGTAATGTGTGTGAGTCTAGACTAGGATGAGTCTCGAATAGAAGAACCCGCTTGAGCCTCACCTGTACCAGGCCTCTCTTGTAGATGGCGCAGAGGACAAACTGGGAGTCGGACGACCACTCCATGTGAGAGATCTGGTCCAGACAGGTGTAGAGCTGGAGGATCTGCAGCGTGGACATATCGCGTACCACCAGCCTGTACTGCACACACGTGGCCTGGACAAACACATTTCACATATTATGCTAACTATGCTAACTGCTACAGGCCTCAGACTTTGGTTGTTCACTCCACTCATCAATGGTCAATGGTTTGTCTTGTTCCTGGCCGATGCAGGAGGGTCTAAGGACCGTGATGATCCAGGACATTTATGGACATGTGTTTCAAATGTTTGATTCCCTGATCTGTAGTTGGTGAATCGACAACTTTGTAAACAATTGCTGTTTAGGGTGATAGAAAATCACATTGAATTTAAAACATTTGTAAGACTGATACTAATACTAATAATTATTGTATTCAAATTAAAAACAGTTCTAGCAGAAATTCAGAAGACATGGACCAATTTAGTTTAAGTTAGTTTAATCTTTTTTAATTCAAGCCAGTTCATTAAACCAGGTTCATCGATAGTAGTCAAGCACAAATTGGTTTGGCCGACTACAGTCTGCTAAACAGTAGTAATGTCACAATTCTCAATTTGATTTTAAATTTTAGGGTCACAATTTGATTCGATTTTTCTTACAGCACACTGTAGCATACTGTAGCGTGGCTCAAATACGCTAATTCAATCCAGCGTTTTCTACTACCAAAAAAAAATGCAGATCTGCTGCTATAAATAACCCTGTCACAATACATTGATGCATTATTTATACTAGCTAGTTAGCGCCTATCCACTAACAATCTGAACCAATGCGAAGCTGGGGAACCAGTGTCAAACCAATAAACCAGTATCCAGGGAAATTTCTGGGTAACCATGGCTTCTAGCAGCAACCATGACTTATACTGACTTACCTCTGCTCCTGGAGAGAACCAGGCACCTTTCTCTAGTCCATGGCCTCAGATTTGGTGCTGATAGACCCTTTAACTGTTTATTGTTGTGGTTAATACAAGTTTGAGCCTCCAAGCGGACTATATATCGTTTGCAATATAATGCATTTTGTTTCTGACAGCGCAGTGCTGATGTATCCTTTATGTTCCATTTCTGTAGGAAATCAGCCAACTTTTTGTGATAAATCTAAAATATATACAGCATTTACAGGGCGGCACGGTGGCTGAGTGGATAGCACTCTCGCCTCTCAGCAAGAAGGTCCTGGGTTCAAATCCCGGTCGGACCAGGGCCTTTCTGAGTGGAGTTTGCATGTTCTCCCCGTGTCTGCGTAGGTTTCCTCCGGGTACTCCGGTTTCCCCTACCACTAAAAATATGTCCAATAGTTCTGGCATGTGCCTCCTGTACTGGCCCCGCTCCCATCTCTGTGTGGAGTGAGAGACAAATGCCCATAATTAACAATTGTAAACCGCTTTGAGACTCAGATCTGCAGTGAAAAGGCGGTATATAAATAAAAACTTACTTACTTACTTACTTACTTACTATTTAATCCTGGCTTCATTTTTACACAGCGCTTGTTAAAATTCAAATGTTTCCGTGTCTCACTTATTCAGGGAACAAGACATTAAGTTTTAATCATTATCAGATTTCAAAAGACAGATAACTTGCAGTGAACATTTTCAATTAAGCGACTTCTGAAATACTTAGTAGAGATAACGGTATAAATTTAATGATCAAAAATTTACCAGATATTTCCCGTCTGGAGACACTTTGCAGAGATGGTTGGACTGTTTGAACAGTTCAGAGAAGTTCATGTTGTCATGTCATCTGCAAAGAGCACAAGAACCACAGTTAGCTAACCACCAAATTCATTATGAATTCATTCATTCTTGTCCTTATTTATAGTTTAAAATGTGCCTTTTAATCATACAAGTGAGTTAAATGTCACTGCAATAGAGGAGAGAAGGGATTTTCTTTCTGACTGGACAAATTGATGACACTAATATGAATGCAAAAATATACGGCTTTTTGTACATTCACTTAAAGTGATGAGTTAGGGACAAACCCAAAACAGACTACGTTACTATATTTGATGCCAAGCTAGCAGCGGCTAACAACAACATTAGCTAACTCACTGTCAGTGATGCTGCGCAGCTTTCGTCTAAAGTAACAGTATTTATGTTAGGTTTGTGTTGAAATAAGTCACAGAAGTGTGTGCAAAGTACCTGGGTGTGTTAACAGCACGACAAGAGCAGTAAAAGCCGAAGATGATTGAGTTTGAGGCTGAATGAAGTGAGCAGCTCCGCAACAGTTTGTTTGGGAGCGCGAGTGACGTCAGCGCTGCCGGGTACAGCGCGGGTTTATGGGAAATGTAGTTCAAAGCATTATTTGATCGCTTTGTTTCACTTGCAAAATATACTACTTCAATCATGTTTAGGCGAGGAAGGTATATTTGTATAGGTATAAAGAACTTTACAAAATAAGAAAGAGAACATATTAAAAAAAATGTATTATATATATATATGTATATATACAAGCAATAATCAAAAATATAGCAAAAATAAAAGCAAAATAATCACAACACATTCGTTTTAAAATATGTTTTTTGAAGAAAGAGCAGATTCAGTCATGCCATTGGGATGGACGGTCTTGTTGAGAAGAAACGTTAAAATCACACAAGCATTAAAATCCACAGTCAGGGCTGGACTGGGACCAAAAAGCGGCCGGGTATTTTTGACAGCCCGGGCATATAATATATATTTTTCTGTTTTTATTTTCACGGTTATTAGCGATATGCAGAAGCACATACTGTAGATGGTCTATGCAGTTTAAAAAATAAAAATAAGTGCAATGGTCTACATTACATGTCACTCTCAAAGCGAATTATTGGGAAATGGCCAAACAAACTGCAGTGTTTTGAATCCTGCAGCTTCAAACTATTTTAAATAGTTTGGAGAGACCAGCAGCTGTCAGCAGTCCAACACTGAAGACAAAAAAGATATGAATTCTGCTATACTTTATAGAAACTATTTCGACAAAGTATAAATATGGGGTGGCTGGTAAAATTATTATTATCACATAATACTGGAAACAAATATAAATTCATATTTTCACTTGCATTTCATATTGATATTTCATATAACTTCCATGTTTTATTTTTTACAATCATTTTTGCAAAAGGCCTAATCCAATCAACATATATATTTCCTGCGCATAAACTGTCATAAGTAACAATCCTAATGTTTGAGCGTGGATACAACTGCCCCAGCTGGTTGCGTGCTTCACACACACACTGTAAATATTAGGCTCACGTCCTTTTGCCGCTGAAACATGCCAGAAAGGCGCTAACAGCTCTGCGCCGCCTCTCCCCGTGTGCGCCTGGGCTCCCCCTGGCTCCCAGTTGGATGAACTGACTCCATGCAAATCACCGCTCCGTCCTCTGTCCTCCGCGCTGTCTGAACGATTCTGGACCAGAAGAAAGATAAGAAAGAAAAAGAAAAAAATCTATAATCACAAGAGATATCTTATCCGGAACTGCTGTGTTTGTGTGAAGATGTTTTGTTGTCATTGCGGCTCGCGGCTCCAACACTGCAGCGCGCAATGAACTGAAAAGACCACAACTTGGAATAACGACGTTTTAAAAGCTTTGTATTACATTGGGATCATAATAACATCCAGGTATGTGACCTAAAGTTGTTTAAGACGGTTTTTAAGTATTCATGTATGTGTGATCTCGAAAAATGGCGACTGCATGGTGCTTGCATTTGGTCTTGACGCACTTATAATTAATAGGTTAATTAAAATACAGGCCAACACGGACAGATTCAAGATTTACCGCGTCAAATGAAGAAGATATTCAAGGTGTTCGTTCCTCCTCAAGCTTGCAAGTACAACAGTATAATTAAAACATATGTACAGGCCTTTATATGTATTTAACTGGTTTTATTCGTGTGCGTAACGTCTTGGTACGAGTGCGTAAAACACGGCCTCCAGATTCTTCTTTAACGGACTATCCAGGGGAATATCAATAATAATCCAATCTATATCCATTGTTCATGTATACGTATTTATTCCACATGTTCAACGTATAAATGTGACAGAGAACAGGTCCTGGTCGAGGGAGTCTATACTGTCTATGTGAAACTATATTGTACCCAGAGGTATGTTGATGGATCCGCTCTCTGCTCGTGTTGCCATGGATGTGCGTAACCAGCATTGCGCAGGTGAAAAGTGCAAACAACAACGAGCCTTCTCCTTTGTGTGTGAGTTTGAGGCCTGTGCAAGCTGTGGGGACAGAGCCCAGATATAAACAGGCACATTCACGGTGTAGATGAAGCATATGCCTGCGTGTATCTGTAGATCTATTGGTTTCAGGTTTTATTTGGAAATATAAAAACTGCAGAAACTCGCCAAATTGTTGCTGATGAGCCATATAGTCTCTGTCCTGTCTCTCTCCAGTCTTTCTCTTGTCTCTATCCAGTGTCTGTCTCTGTCGTCTGTCCATTTTCTCTCTACAGTCTTTGTCGTCTCTCTCCAGTCTTTCTCCAATCTCTATTGTCTCCCCCTTTTATCTCACGAGAACTTTATATTTTAAAATCATTTGTGGCCTCTATGACTGTGAGAACTCTTCGGGGTATAATACCTGTGGTCATCTCGGGGGACTTTACACAGATTTAGATTTAAACAGATTAGAGAATCAAACCAGTTTCCTGTACACTGGTATAGACGTCTGTATTTTTTATGCGCGTCTTCTCTTTGGTGTTTCTCTTGTGCTGTCCTATGTGGAGTCTGAAAAAGAAATGACGACATCTTTAAAGAACCTGCATTACTTCTCACAGAGCATTGATTTCTAAACTAATGAATCGACCACACCTATTTGGACAACACAAGAATATATTTCAAATATATATATTTTTGGACAATACGTCATAATATTCTACATATTTTATTCTATTTCAATTCAATCTCAATTGAGTATCCCTAAATCACAAGATCTAAGAGGACTTAATTAACAATCGTCAACACAGATCAGAAAATTAAACATCAAACACAAAGCTGAATGAATGACTTTCCACGCACCTTTTATCCGTGTAGCATTTGTATGTGTTTGAATTGCAAATTGTTTTTTGTTGTATGCGTTCTACATATAAAGTGTTTTTGTAGTATTATACTTTTGGGGTATAGGGACTTAGAACAACCATTTCTTTCCCCAGCTTTACGCAAATTACGCACAATACGTTCACTCTTGCATCTGACGTGATACAGCATGTAATAGGACAACAGCCAATCAATCCGAGTTTTTTTAACTAAACAAATCCACAGAGAAATGTGTGCCTTGGTTTTATTTTTATTGTTATATACTATCCGAAGGCCTGCATCTATTTCCTGTTTAGTGAAATACAGCCCCAGCGCAGCAGATATTGTGCTAAGTGTATTGTGTTAAGTGAAAAAAGAGAAAGGGGAAAAAATGGTCCATGAGGAATCCCAATTAGCGCAAACCTGTTGGGACCAGAGCGGGAGAGACGCGCGCAGGAAGGCGGCAGAAGGAGAGAGGGCCTCGGCCTCTGGAGCCTACCCGAGATTTCACACAGACGTAACCAGAGACCAAGACATGCATCTACTCTATATCATGTAAAATTATAATGAATACATAAATTGGAAAGATAGAGGCTACATCCAAACTCACAAGCATATAGGCCTACACGTCGTACATTTGTGTTTGTGGCATAAAACCTGGAGCTGTCGCGCCTATAAGTCCATTATATATCATTATTATTGTATTACTACCAATAATAGAAACAAAAAAACGAAAAACCGACAAGACGTAACCAGAAACGTGCCGCTAACAACATGGCTGGATATTCTATAATATTATGTAAACAATTGTATATTTAGCTATGAATATTTTGCTTGACGGGAGTCCTTAATAAAGTCTAAATAAATAAAAATACATGAATAAATAGACATATAACTCTGGCATGTTATACATTTTAAAGCCTATTCTCAGGAAAACAACCATATCATTCTCAAAGCTTTGCTGAAATCTTAGAAGTTATAGTTATTTAATTATTCGTATTTGTCTTCAAATACATCTCAATCCAAACCCATACCCAAACTCGTGTTAAATACAGTTAATTTGTCAAAAGACGAAAATATGTCAAAAAAAAGGTTAAACTTGGCCGCCGAACAAAATGAGTTGTATGAGTCGTATTTTAATGACGTGTATAAATGTGACATTCTCAAACCTGGAGCTGTCCTGTCTAATAAAAAGGCAAATACGTAACCAGAAACGTGCCACTATGATAGCAGTACAAGATATACTATTAGCAAAGACTAAACATACTTACGCATAAAGGCTGCATCCGGATTCACAGTATGCGTCCTTGTCTCCTTGTCTCCTTGTCGTCGCGTCTTTTTTAATGGCCTTTGTGGCATTAGAAAAAAACACATGTTTAATGTGCTTAAATCTCAAAACTGGAGCTGTCATAGCTGGACTGATGTGATGCATTCATCAGAGTCATAGAAATAACAATAATAATAATAGAATAATGTAATTAACAATATATTTCCAACGCTTGTTTCTTTCTTATGTTTTTTTTCCTGTTTCTCTCGTTTGTTTTGGTCTGACAGTTGCTGAACCCTGGGTCTGTGGGGTCAAAAAGATAGAAAAACTATTGATGCTATTTATCTAAGCTGGAAAATAGGAAGACAACATATCGGCTGAATAACGTGACTGGGATCAAAGTTTGCTGATAAGTTGTAGCAAGATTCAAGTTGAAGGTTCAAAGTTATGAGAATATTGGGTTTTTGGTGAAGGAGTGAAGAGTAGAAACAGACTAGTGACATGAGAGAAAGAGAAAGAGAGAAAGAGAGAGAGCAGAGTTAAAAATCAGAGAGAGACCAGATAAAAAGATCAGACACAGCGACAGAGAGTGAGGTGTATAGTGTTTTGTGGATGTCTCATGGACGAAACAGGAGAAACTTGAGTAACAATCAACAATCATGTGTTTATACTGTGTGTTTGCTGCAGAGCGAGAAGCCCCTCTCCGGACCTCCCCTCCTCTAAGATGTCCCAGACCACCACCACAGAAGAGGGCGGGACCTTTGAGCACCTGTGGAGCTCTCTGTGAGTCACGCCTTTTAGCTTGTCTGTGCTACATGAATAAATATGCGTCATTGCTCACAAAGACACGTTTTAATCAGAGAAGACAATCAAATCATCAATTTTTTCAATTTGGTTTGACCTATGATGAACTGGTTTAGCCCTGTTTTGGTGCAGATTTAGACCTGGTTTTAGTCCTGGTTTGATCCAGATCAAGGTCAGGTTTATTATGTCTTAAAATACATTTTCAGTGGTTTTATACTTCTACCTAAGTAAAATTTTTAACATATTGTTAAAAAAAGTCCTAAATTAGAACGCAGTAGTACAGTAAATAAACACAAATAATGTATGCTTAGTTTAAAAAGTGACAGCAATACAATTATTACATTACATTAAATAAAATAAATGTATTGGCTTCAGATTTGGAGATGTTTGAGAGACTGTAACTCTGTCACAAGGTAATCCTACAGAAACCATCAACATTGAGGCATTTTGACTGAATTGGCATTAGCAGCTGCAGTATATTCAAAACTCTGCAGCTTGAGTCCTGTCTAGAACCAGGAAGTACCATCACATTAGTCCTGGTCTCGGGTCTCTGGTTCCTGTGGCTCAGAGAATAGACTTTAAGCAGCTCTGATTGTTACAAGTCTCTCCATGGCCTCGTACCAAATCTGTGACATGTTAGTGCCAAATGAACCAACTCAGCACAGGGACTGGCCTCCTGCTAGTGCTGGGGAGGCCGTGTTTAAACTAAAGTCTTCCTAAAAATGTGAGGCAGGCTTCTTCTCTGACAATGTTCAATAGGTTAAAAATAGTTCTGCTTAGCCAAATACAACTGAAGGATTCCAACTTTTTAATGCACTGATTTTAATGCTCATTCTCATTTTATTTCAGCACTTTTGGGTTTTCCTTGTGTATGAACTGTTCTATACAAATAACTTACCTTTTACTCTCCATTTCCTTTCTCCTTTTCCTGCAGTGAGCCCGACAGTACGTACTTCGAGCTGCCTGCGGAGGGACAGTCCCAGAGCGGAGACTCTTCTGGGCCTCAGCGCTCCTCTGACGTCTCCATGGAGGTCTACCACATGAGGGACATCAACCACAACGTCATGGTAGCTACGCCATGTGTGTGTGTGTGCGTGTGTGTGTGTCTATGTGTCAGTGTGTGTGTGTGTGTGTGTGTGTGTGTGTGTGTGCGTCTATGTGTCAGTGTGTGTGCACCACATGAGGGATGTCAACCATAACGTCATGGAGAGTTTTGTTACAGAGTGTTTTGTTACAAAACTGGAGAGGGCGGTTCTTTCCTAATATTTGGGAAAATTCTCCTGTATACCTTTAAGTGTATGCGGCTGTGAAATGCACAAGAAAATAGCAAGACCATTCAAGACCAAACTGTCCAGATGCCAAAATACCAATAAGAATAAACTATTGTCATATCTTCACTTTTCTTATTCTTACTCCGGTAATATCTAAACATGTTTGAAGAAAACACATAATATTTCACTAGAAGCTTGTCTCACATTTCAGATAGCTCTCCTGTCTGTGGATAAACATGGGTTAGAGGCATAGTATCCCCGCTATTTCAGATCTGTATGCATTACACCCTCGCTGATAGAAAATGTGTGAATAAATGTGGTTTGTCAGTGATTCTCTCGGTTCCCTCTCTAGCGGCTGCTTTTCCCTCCTTCAGTCCCTGCAGAGAGGGGGGTTAATTAGTTTAAGCTTCATGCTGTGTGTGTGCATCTGTGTGAGTGTGTATCTGTATATCTCCAATTATAAAAATACTCTCTTTGTATTGGCTATACAATAGTTCAGGTCCATAGGCTTGTTTTTCTCCAAAGTATTTTGCTTTTTAATTGTGGGTTTGTCCATTGTTTTGTCCACAGGTTCAGTACAGGTTTGGTCAATCAGTGTAGACTTTACAAAGTTGTTGATTCGCCAACAGATCAGAGAATTAAACAGTTCGGACACAGGAAATGCAAAAATAATAAACATATTATAACAAAAATATTGGTCCATAGGGAGCAGGATTTCCACTGTCCAGAAATATTAATAAATGTGCAAAAATGTCCTGGATAATCACTGTCATTAGGCTGCATCAGCAAGGAATGAGGAAAATTTGTGGGAGAAATTGTGAGAAACCCTGAGGAAGCCCATATTAACAGTGGGATCCGCTGGCACAGATGTGTTAGGATTTATCAATCAATCAATCAATCAACGTTTATTTATAGAGCGCCTTTCCTACACAAGGCAACGCAAAGCGCCTCACAACCCATATAACATCATGCATAAATCATCAAACATTAGAATTTAAGTAAACATAAAAAGACAGATTAAGAGCACAAGATATATAAAATCACACAAGTAGTTAAAAACCGTAAAACATTAAAATCACACAAGGGATTACAATCATAAATAATCATAAATAATCATAAATAATCATAGCGCATTAAAAAGATTAAAGATAAAAACAAATATAAAATCATTCACTTGTATGCACAGCTAAAAAGAACTGTTTTCAGTTCAGTTTTAAAAACTGCTAGAGTAGACGCCTGTCTCACACTCTCGGGAAGACGGTTCCAGACTCTAGCTGCATGAATCTGAAACGCAGCCTCCCCATGTCTAGTTCCGACTCTTGGCACTAACAGAAGTCCAGTCCCTGTGCTCCTCAGAGCCCGAGTTGGTTCATATGGCACCAACATGTCGCGGATGTACCCTGGTGCGAGGCCATGGAGAGACTTGTACACAAGTAAAGCTACTTTAAAATCTATTCTCTGAGCCACAGGAAGCCAGTGCAGAGACCTGAGGACCGGACTAATGTGGTCGTACTTCCTGGTTCTAGTCAGGACTCGAGCTGCAGCATTTTGGATGTACTGCAGCTGTTTTACCGCTTGTTTAGAGAGACCTGTGAACAAGCCATTGCAGTAGTCCAATCGACTGGAGACAAATGCGTGGATAAGAATCTCCAAGTCTGCTTTAGACACAATGTTCCTAATTTTAGCAATGTTTCTTAGGTGGAAGTAAGCTGATGATGTCACAGATGATATGTGGCTATTGAAATTTAAGTCTGAGTCCATTATTACTCCTAGATTTCTGACCTGAGTTGAGGGTTTTAGGGAGAGAGACTGGAGGTGGCAGATAACGCTCTCTCTTTGTTTTTGAGGTCCGAAAACAATAATTTCAGTTTTTTCTGTGTTTAGCTGGAGAAAGTTATTTTGCATCCAATCACTGATTTGTTGGATACAGTGAAGGAGCGAGTCCACTGGTCCATGTTCTCCTGCTGTCAGGGACACATAGACCTGAGTATCGTCAGCATAATTGTGATAGGACACGTTATTACTGTGTATTAACCTACCCAGAGGCAGCATGTAAATATTAAACAGGAGAGGCCCCAGGATTGATCCCTGTGGCACTCCGCAGGTTAGGGCCAGATGGTCTGAGATACAGTTTCCGATCTCCACAAAATACTTTCTGTCCTGTAGGTAGGATATAAACCAGCTTAGGGCTGTTCCAGAAACACCAACCCAGTCCTCAAGTCTCTGAATGAGGGTACCATGATCGACAGTGTCGAAAGCAGCACTTAAATCTAACAGGATAAGAACTGAGACTTTTCCTGCGTCAGTGTTAAGTCTGATGTCATTTGTTACCTTCACTAGAGCGGTCTCTGTGCTGTGGTGGGGTCTAAAACCAGACTGGAACATATCAAAAGAGTGATTGATTATTAAAAATTCTGTAAGTTGTTGATAGACAACTTTTTCTAGAATTTTACCCATGAAAGGCAGATTTGAAATGGGCCGATAATTTTTAAGTGCCAAGGCATCCAGACTCCTCTTTTTTAGGAGGGGTCTGATGACTGCCGTTTTCAGGGCCATTGGGAATGTTCCAGATTCAAGAGACATATTTACTATATGCGTGAGTGAAGGTAAAAGACTGCTCAGAACAGATTTAAGAAATCTAGGAGGTAATACATCCAGGCTACATGTAGAAGAACTCAGACTTGTAATTATCATTTGGACAGTTTCATTTTGTACTGGTGTAAAGTGTGTCAGCCCAAAAAGCTTCACTGGCTGTGGGATTGTAATTTCTACTGTGGAGGTGATGGCATTTTTGATGCCTTGGACTTTGTCATTAAAAAACTCTGCAAACTCATTACATTTGGTTTTGGAGGTAAGCTCTGATGGCATCTTAACAGGGGGATTTGTCAATTTATTTACTGTTGAGAACAGAACGCGTAGATTGTTACTGCAACCTTCGATTGTTTCGGAAAAATAAGTTTCCCTCGTTCTACGTAGCACACTGTTGAACTTGCACAATGCATCTTTGAAGATCTCATGGTCAACTTGGAGATTTGACTTTCGCCACTTCCGCTCGGCTCTCCGGCACTCTCTCTTCTGTGCCCTGACAGAGTCCGCTTTTGTCCATGGCGCCTTTTGCTTATTTGTAACAATTTTGACCTTTACAGGAGCAATCGTGTCCAGAACATCCAAAACACTAGAGTGACAGAGTTAAGTGACAGAGTTGAAAAGTTCAAGTTTAATTCTAACCACACTATTGAGAACATATCAAAAATACACAGAAAGATTGACGAGCAACCCATTACATTTAGTAACCCTTAGTAATAGCAGATCGAGAGTGTGTCCTCTGCTATGGGTGGGGCCACTCACATGCTGAGTGAGACCAAAGGTCTCCAGCACAGAGCTCAGCTCTTTCGCGTATCTATCATCAACGTTATCTACATGTATATTAAAATCACCTATGACGACTAAACTATCAAAGTCTGTGCACACAACTGAAAGCAACTCGGTGAAATGATCAGTGAAACTATGACATGACTGTGGCGGCTTGTACACAACAATAATAAGAATAGAAGATTGTTTTTGTTCTATTTTAAAAGAGACATACTCAAATGAGGAAAATTTCCCAAGAGGTACTCTATGGGAGACAATACAATCTTTAAAAACTGCTGCTGTGCCTCCTCCTCTTTTATTTTCTCGAATTTCTGATTCAAATTTGAAATTTGGTGGTGTTGTTTCTATTAAGACTGCATTTTCTGTATTATGGTCAAGCCAAGTTTCAGTCATAAACATAAAGTCAAGATCATAAGAACAGATAAAATTATTAATTAAAAAGGATTTATTGCATAGTGATCTGACATTAAGCAGAGCAAGGTTAAAAATAATATCAGTGTCAGTGGGTTTAGTTGATTGACTACAAAGAATTGGAATTAGATTTCCTGAGTTGGACCGTCTAACTGCTGTCCTTCTGTTATATTTGTGTTTATTCAAATTAAAACACATTTCTGAGCCGGTGCGAGGAACACACACAGTCTCTATTGGTTTAAAAAGTGAACTCTGTTTTACTTTGTTAAGTTCCAGATGCATGACTGAGTAAGTGCCGTTCAGTGGCAGGACTGGTATTACACTGCCAGACGGACAGGGGTCAGTGTTTGCACCACAGTACTCACCCGGTGCTGGAGTGGAGGAGGAAGGTGGTAGTGGGGGCCGAGGGGCCTCGGATGTAAACAGTCACGCCCCCCTTGGGGAGCACTGAACAACATGGCGTAAAAAGTCCATCAATAAACTGGTGCCGTATCTGTTCGGGTGCAGACCGTCTGGACGATAGGCCACGTGACGCTTCCAGAACAGGCCAAAGTTGTTCACAAAAACAAAGTTAAAAGTGCTGCATGCAGACTGGAGCCACATATTCAGCGCCACAACGCGACTGTACAAGCAGTCTCCCCGGTTTACAGTCGGGACTGGACCAGAGATAAAAACACACAACCCTGAGGACTGGAGGAGGCGGAATAGATCCATAAAATGCTTCTTTGTGACCTCGGACTGCTGCAGCTTCATGTCGTTGATCCCCACATGCACGATTACCTTTGAAATGGTATCAGGCAGGGACTGAAGCAGAGGAGGGAGACGGATGAGCAGATCTGGGACAGTAGCTCCAGTAATGCAGTGAGTGACCGCGTTAAAAAAGCGGACGTGCCTCACGATGGAATCTCCAACAATCAAAGTAGTCGGGGCGAAGAGTGGACGTAGCCGCGGAGAGGGCGCTCGGTGTCCATGGCCAGCGGGCTCATCCAGGGATGGGTCCGAACCAGGGCGCTGCTGAACACATGGAGGGGAGCGGGGGTGTTGATTCCCAGCTCCGGGCAACCCACGCTGTGTGCACGGAGACGCTGGAGCAGCGAGAGGAGCAGGCTTGGGTCGCTGCTGCTGACCCGGTGAAGGTAAGCGGTGGTGATGCACTGGGGTCAGAGAAGGGGAATGATCACTCTTTCGTCTGAGGACAGCTTCCTTTAAGAGTGTCTTTCTCGCAGAGGACCTGGATCCACGGACAGCAGTAGAGTTTGCTGCAGAGTCCAGGGGTTCTGCTGAGGGGGCTGGGATGTCAGCGGAGAGGGCTGCATAGCGGTTTGAAAGGCTCAGCACATGGGCCACGGCGCTGGATGGCTCCTCGCAGTCCGCAGGCTCTTTATTCCGAACCGGGCACTTAGGTGTAGAACAGGAGGGCCCAGAGCTGACAGATCTCTCCCACACGACAGTGTCACAGTATGCAGCGCTCAGTGACATAAGCCGTGAGTGCTGCCCGCCAGCGACATCAAAAAGTTTGGACACGAGTGACTGTTTATCCTGCAGCTCTGCAGTGAGGCGAAGGACTTCTTTACGGAGGTCTGCAATAGTGGCACGGTCCCTCTCACGAAGCTCCAATGTGAGGCGACTAATGTCGTTCGTGGTCATTGCAGTGTCACTTTCCATGTCTGTGGTGCGCTCGTGGTAGCCTCCATTCGTGCCCCGAAGGATGGCTACAGGGATTACGTTAGGCAGACAGAGACGGATCGTGGTGTGCCAAACTCTGGAAGTTTATTTAAGTTTCTCTCAAGTTCCACTGGTTTCCTCTGTTTCTCTCC